GGTGCACTAACATGGTCACAGTGTGTACCCCCTGACCCCTAAGGAACCAGCATTGAAAGGCACCTGGATCTTCAAACGTACCAGGTACAGCAGAGTGCTCCAGGATTCATAGTGATGGGCACACACCTCCACAAAGGGGTAACTGCAAAGACCATAACTTATTTTTTTTAATTAACTCTTGGACCAACACATTGGCAAGGATGGAAAGAGTAATCTTACCAAAGGGGTTGTCAGTGGATTGCCAATGGCTCATATTTGAGATATACATAGACACGAATTATAACAATTCTTAATTCTTATCTGGCTGAGAAATAAAAGAGGTAAGCTCAGAAACAAATTAGGGATGGTATTAGGCCCAAAAAAGAGATACATAATGGTCAGGAAAAGTAGCAAAGCTGGGGACCAGGAGCAGTAACGTGGTTGACTCTCAAACGTTTTATAAGTATAATTTGGAGAAGCTGAGTGAATGGGAAAATGCATGGCAGATGCAGTATAATGTGGGTAAAAGTGAGGTTGCACACTTTGGTAGTGAAGGCAGGAAGCTGGATTATTATCGTAACGGCAATAGATTGGGAAAACAGGGAGGTGCAACAAGAACTGGGTGTCCTTGTACACAAGTCACTGATAGTAAACATGTAGGTGCAGCAGGCAGTGAAGAAAGCCAATGGTGTGGTAAGAATTCGAGTACAGGAACAGGAATGTCTTGCTGCAATTACACAGGGCCTTGGTAAGACCACACCTGCAGTATTGTGTGCAATGTTGGTCTCCTTATCTGAGGGAGAATGTTCTGGCTTTTGAGTGCAACGAAGGTTTAGCAGAGTGATTCCTGGGATGGCAGGGCTGACATATGAAATGAGATTGAATCAGTTACGATTATATTGACTAGGGTTAAGAAACAAAAGGGAGGTGGGGGGGTTCAGAATCTCACAGAGAGGTAAACAATTCTAACAGGATTAGACAGGTTAACTGCAGGTGGATGTTCCTAATGACTAGGGGGGTCACAGTCTAAGGAAATAGAGTAAACCATTTAGGATGAAGATGGGGAGAAATGTTTTCACCCAGAGAGCCATGAGCCTGTGGGATTCTCTGCTGCAGAAAGCAGTTGAGATGAAAATATCAAATGTTTTCAAGAAGAAGTCAGATATAGTTCTTTAAAGCTAAAAGGGATCAAAAGGTCAGGGTGGGGGAGAAAGGAAGAACAGGCAACTGAGTTGGTTAATCAGCTGTGATGATATTGCATGGCAGACCAGGCTTGAAGGGCCGAATGGCCTACTCCTGCTCCTATTTTCTACATTTTCAGATAGACATTATCCATAGGTATTAACATTATCCATAGGTATTAAGGCTAAAATGGAGTTAGGCGACAGATCGCATGATCTCACTGAACAGAAGCTAAAGGCCAAGAAGCTAAATGTCCTCCCGCTGCTCCTGTGGTCCCAGCAGTTATTGCCAATATTCCCCCAATCATTATACAAATCAGCTCCTAAAGAATGTCATCACCTTTTTAAAGATTCTGGATACTTAACAGTTTCAGCTCTCAGTTTTCTAGTACAGTGCCAACATTGGCATCTACCCGAAAATGGGGAATATTGCCCCAGTACTGTCCCATCAGTCTCCTCTCGATCATCAGTAAGGTAATGCAAGATGTCATTAACATTGCTATCAAGCAGCACCTGCTCAGCAATAACCTGCTCAGTGACGCCCAGTTTGGGTTCCGCCAGGGCCACTCAGCTCCTGACCTCATTACAGCCTTTGTTCAAACATGGACAGAGGAGCTGAATTCCAGAGAAGTGAGAGCAACAGCCCCCAACATCAAAGCCGCATTCGATTAAGTGTGGCTTCAAGGAAGACTAGCCCTGGAATTTATAGTAATCAGGAATAAAGTCTTCACTGGTGGGAATCATACCTAGCACATAGGAACAGGTTGTGGTTGTTGCAAGTCAGTTATCTCAGCTCCAGGACATCTCTGCAGGAGTTCCTCAGGGTAGTGTCCTAGGCCCAACCATCTTCAGCTGCTTCATCAATGACCTTCCCTCCATCATAAGGTCAGAAGTGGGGATGTTCACCAAAGATTGCTCAATGTTCGGCACCATTCACAACTCCTCAGATACTGAAACAGTCCATGTCCAACTGCATGAAGTCTTGGACACTTCCAGGCTTGGGCTGATAAGGGGAAATTAATATTTGTCCTACACAAATGCCAGGCACTGCCCATTTCCAAAAAGAGAGAATCAAACTATTGCCCCTTAACAATCATCACTGAATATCCTACTGTAAACATCCTGGGGGTTACCATTGACCAGCAATTGAACTGGACTCGCCACATAAACATAGTGGCTACAAGAGGTATAGATAGAGGTATAGATAGAGTAGACAGCCAAAGACTTTTTCCTAGGGTGGAGGTAGCTTTTACGAGGGGACATAGTTTTAAAGTGAAAGGAGGTACACATCGGGGAGACGTCAGAAGTAGGTTCTTTACTCAGAGAGTGTTAGGGGCGTGGAATGCATTGCCGGAGAGGGTAGTGGAGTCGGCCTCATTAGGGGCATTTAAGCGGCTATTAGATAGGCATATGGATGATAGTATAAGGTAGTGGTGGAGGTTAAATAGACCTTAGGTTTAGGGTAAAAGTTTGGCACAACATCTTGGGCCGTAGGGCCTGTACTGTTCTATGTTCTATGTTCTAAGAGCAGGTTCGAGGCTAGGAATACTATGACAAGTAACTTCTGACTCCCCAAAGCACAAGTCAGGAGTGTGATGAAATACTCCCCACTTGCCTGGATGGGTGCAGCTCCAACAACACTCAAGAAGTTTTGCACCATCCAGGACAAAGGAGCCTGCTTGGTTGGCATCACATCCATAAACATGCTCATACATCTGCCATTCTCACACCAGCTGAATTGGGAGATAAATGTTGGCCCAGCCAGCAATGCTCCACAGCAGACATATGTTAATTCCTCATTAATTTTGTCAGTTTCTTTGAGGACAGACATGATGATAGAATCTCTACAGTGCGGAAACAGGCCTTTCAGCCCAACAAGTCCACACTGACGCTCAGAGTATCCCACCCAGACCCATCCAATCTACACACCCCTGAACACTACGGGCAATTTAGCATGGCCAATCCACCTAGCCTGCACATCTTCGGACTGTGGGAGGAAACCGGAGCACCTGGAGGAAACCCACACAGACACTGGGAGAACGTGCAAACTCCACACAGACAATTGCTCAAGGCTGGAATCGAACCCGGGTCCCTGGCACTGTGAGGCAGCAGTGCTAACCACTGAGCCACCGTGCCGCTCTACAGTCCTGCAACAACAGCCATATCTAATAAATCCACAATATCATTTGTAGAGGTTCACCTACTTCTTCCTGACATTTACGCAAAATATCACTCTTTGATGCACAAATAAAGACCTTTGCACTGTGAATTAGACAATTGTTAAATCTCTCCATAAGACTGTCTCAGGATCAATGTTCAGAGTTCCCTCTGGCAGAGAGTCATAGAGTTATAGAATCATACCGCACAGAAACAGACCCTTCAGCCCAACCCGTCCATGCCGACCAAGTTTCCCAAACTAAACGAGTCCCATTTGCCTGCACTTGGCCCATACCCCTCTAAACCTTTCCTATTCAGGTACCTGTCCAAATGTCTTTTAAATGTTGTAGCTGTAGCTGCATTTATAATTTCCTCTGGCAGCTCATAACACACGAACCAACCCTTTTGTGATAAAGTTGCCCCTCAGGTCCTTTTTAAAACTTTCTCCTCTCACCTTTAAAATACACGCCCTGGTTTTGAACTCCCTCACCCTAGGGAAAAGACCTTTGCTATTCACCTTATCTTCACCCCTCGTGAATTTATAAACCTCTATATGGTCACCCCTCAACATCTTACTCTCCAGTGAAAAAAGTCCCAGCCTATCCAGCTTCTCCTTATAACTCAAACCCTCCATTCCTGGCAATATCCTGGTAAATCTTTTCTGAACCCTCTCTAATTTAATAATGTTCTTCCTATAGCAGGGCGATCAGACCTGCACACAGTACTCTAAAAGTGGCCTCACCAACTTCTTTTACCACCTCAACATGACATCTCAACATCTATACTCAATGGTCTGAGCAACGAAGGCAAACGTGCTAAATGCCTTCTTAAGCACCCTGTCTATCTGCTACGCAACTTTCAAAGAACCATGTACCTGAACCCCTGGGTCTCTCTGTTCAACA